AATTTACGAAAATAATTTGTACACATTTCTTTTGTGTGTTTGAAAGCCCTCTTCAAAAATTGCTGGGCAACTTTTCGAAAATAATGCAATATTTGTTTGGCAAAGTTTAATAATTGTTTATAAATTTGTTATCCACTTACTGAATATGATTCGCAAATTATAATCTATTTAAAAACTTGGCATCACTTTCGATACTAGATTTTATAACATAGTTGTCCTCGAGTTAATCTACACCATATTTATCTATGGCGGGGGGCGGACTCAAAATCATTTAGCCCTTCCTGCTAATCATGCATACTATTCGTCGTATTTGTTGGCATTCTCTCCCGATCACCAGTGTTCAACTAATTATGTAATTTTTCGGTTGAAATGGAAGTTAAATTATAGAATACAAACAAGATAATGTTATATATTTTGACTTTTAAATTGAAAATTATATGCTCTAGATTATTTATTGATTTTTGGGTGTGATGTTGAACAAAATAACACGGCATGTGAAAACTACAAGTCTTTAATATTAATCTTACACAATCAAGCATAAAGAAAATAATTTTCAAAGTACAACTTAATTATCGCCAATTTATATAAATTATGTACCATGTTCATATATTAGCTCTTACATCACAATTAAAGCTCAATTTTTACATTCACTAGCTATGGAAAAAAATAAAAATTAAAAATTAATTAATAAAAAACCAAAATTTTTTTGTTATATCAAGATAAATATACCATTATAATACAACTGTAACTTTTACTTTTATCAGAAAAGTCCCTTTACTTCAAAAAAAAAAAAAACATCATTTTCTCTTTGTGATTTTCAATAAAATTGGCTTGATTAAGCATGTTGATAAGAACGAGCAATGGGGCGAAATATCCAAAAGTATACAATGGAAACGGTCATAAATCACTGTATTAAACTAATCACAACACCCTAATCAACATTAATTAAGGTCACTTTCACGTTGTCATATAATAATAATCTAATTTTGTATTTCTTTCACATCTGCTTGCACGTCCTCTATAAACTATACATTGCCAATCTGTCACCAGTTGGACCCATATTAAAACTCTACCCAATCTTTCACCACTTTCTCCCATTTCTTGTTTTCATCAATCTCTCTCTCTCTCTCTCTCTCTCTCTCTCTCTCTCTCTTACACACACACACAAAAATCTAAATCTTTCCCAAAAGGTTACTTTAATTCATCAAGTGTTGTAAACACTTAATTTGGACAAGTTCATGGGGAGTAGATTCATCAACAACCAGTTTGTTAGTGAGGTAGAAGACGCTGAATATTCGCCAGAAAACAGTGGAGATTCGCCTAGCTCCGCCATGTCTAATGATACCAAGATGACTTTTACCTCCTCTCCAAAGAAAAGGTGATGTAAATAAATCATATATAGTATTTATAATCTCGTCTTTAATACTGTCAATTACTGCCTAATCTACATTATTAAGCATGCCAATACTATATTTGTGTGTGAGAAAAGATTCATTTATGTTTCAAGAATCTTTTAGGGTTTGATTTGCGAGAGTTCTTGTGCATGCATGTGTCAGTTGAAGAAATTATATAAAGAAAAATGGGTGTTTTGGGATTTTTTTACAGTAGGCGAGCTATACAAAAAAGAGTTGTGTTTTTGCCCATCAAAGAAGTGGAAGGATTAAGACTTAAGGGCGATCATATGAGTACTCCACCTTCTGATTCCTGGGCATGGAGAAAATACGGCCAAAAACCCATCAAAGGTTCACCCTATCCTAGGTAATTAATTAATTATCTTAGAAATATTTTGTATTATTTGATAAAATCCTCTATGGGATGATAATTTATCAATTTCTTTCGATTTTGTAGAGGTTATTACAGGTGCAGTAGCTCAAAGGGCTGTCCTGCAAGAAAACAAGTGGAGAGAAGTAGACAGGATCCTACTATGTTGGTGGTAACGTATTCTTCTGAACACAACCACCCGTGGCCGGCTTCTAAAAATCACCGCCATAACGCCGCCGCAGCTATGACAGCAACAAACGCTACACCTTCGGTCTCTGAAGAGGAGGAGGAAGAAGAAGAAGATCATGATCAAGATAAAGATAAGAAAGAGCCCATAAATGTTTCCATTCAATCTGAACTCATTTCTGAAGATAAATTTCCCAATCTTGATGAAACATCCTTAATTAACGGCAGCGAATTTGGGTGGTTCACAGATTTCTATCCTACTTCTTGCACCATGCTATACAGCCCAATTTTAACTGAAGACAGAGATAATACCGATTCCGATATTTTCACAATGCCAGAGGAAGATGAGTCACTTTTTGCCGATCTTGATGAATTGCCGGAGTGCTCAGCCGTGTTCCGCCGTGGGATAGTGCAGAGAGAGGTGGCGCACAGGCGGCACAGCCTTGAAACCACCGGGTGAGATATCAGCCAATACGTCATCCATATTTGTCTTTTCTAAGCAACATATTTTAATCTCAGCGTGTCGTACGCCATGAGATAACCCAGAAAGAAAAGTATTTTTCTTAAAATATGTTAGCGTAGTGGTTAGGGAATAAAAATGTTAATTTCATTGTAATTAGCACCAAAAGCCGTAGGTTAGTAACGGCTATCTTAATTTGGCTGACGTTTCTATTCAAGATAATTAGCTTATACTATTCGTCCATTATTATTTATATATTCTAAGAAATTACTTAAATAAGTTATTTAAGATTTAACATATAAATAATGTCCATACATTTCTTGTATATTTCTAACATTGCTGACAAAATTAAGAGAGTGTTTGGTTGGGATTTTGAGAATTGATTTTTTTACCGTTAGAGATAAAAGTAGATCTTACCCGTAAGAAAAGAATTCAAAAATGACAGCTGAAATAGTAAAATAACGGTCAAAAAATTGATTTTAATTGACTTAAAATCTCCACCAAACACCTCCAAAGTCGAGTGAGCACGACTTGAAGGTTTACTTCCTATAATATTTTGTATGACGTAATACTTGTACAATAAATCATTAATAGTTAAAGTTAACTTTTCGAAATCACGTAATATTGCGTGTGAAATGTAATGTCAAAATGTTAAAATAATGCGATAAATCCTTTCTTGGTGATCTTCCCTGTACCTACCTTCAATAATTTATCTAATTTCTTCTTATATTCGACAAGACAAGTTAAGTTTGTGAAAAATAATATTCATCAATATTAAAGACCTAGGTATAATTAAGCAAAAAAATAAATATTTTAAATTAAATATAATGTTATATATTAAATTTAATGACATGATTTGACACAATATTAAAGAAAGTAATTAATGTATTGAGTTTAAGTCTATTTAGAGGTGGGCACGGATTGGTTCGGTTCTAAGAAGAATCGAACCGAACCAAAATTATTGGGTATCTAGTAAATGGAACCGTCGAGTACAAATATAATTATGGAACCGTTCGGGTTCGATTCCGTTCGGTTTGCTTCGGTTCCGTTTGGTTCTGTACTATAATTAAATTTTTTAACATTTATAACAACATTATATAAATACAACTAATGACACATTTAATGGTTTTAGAATGTCAAAAACTAGTAGACTACATTGTTCAAATGATCGCTACGGTCAAAGTTTTGGTCGGGGAAGGTCACGGCTTCGATCGGAGGTCACAACGTCGACCGACGATTGTATAGGTTTTGGAATGTTAGAGAGGCTGCGAGAGTGAGTACAAGAGTCAAGACAGCGTTATGCACTTTAATGTAGGTGTTTAGGGTTATTTAGTGGATTGGATTTTGTAGGGCTAAGAAATAAAACAAATTATTGGGCCAAAAATTTGGATTTAGAAATTGTTAATTTGTTTAGAAAAAATTAAAATTAAAATAATTTGATTTATTCAATATAAAAAAAAAATTAGAAAGATTCGGTTCTTATTCGGTTCTTCGGTTCTTAGTCTAGAACCGAGAACCGAACCGTACCCGTCGATTCTCAATTCAGATAAACGTTCGGGTATTTAATTTGACAAGAATCATCGGGTTCGGTTCGGTTCGGTTCGGGTTCGATTCGGTCAGTTCGGTTCGGGAGATTTGTCCAGCCCTAAGTCTATTTATAGAACAAAAACTACGCATCAATATTTAGGGATGTCTGGCAAAACTATTGATAAAAAGTGTTAACCAATTTCGTAAAAATCGATAAAATATGTAGTTGAAAATTTAATAAAAATTGTGAATCCTATAAGATTGTGGTTAAAATTAATTATTCATTTTGATATAAATTTTTTAACAATTCTTTACGCTATTTCAACTAAGCACTCATAAAGTAGACGAAAACGTCAAAACTCAAATCTAATTTAGACATAACTTTTTGTCACAATAAGATTATCCAAACTTTTCTTGCTTAGTAAGGAAGGGAGAGAAAGAGACTTTATTTTTATTTTTATTTTTATTATAAGTAAAGAAGAAAGTGCCCCAGAGAGCCAAGACAGATTGAATCTTACTAATTAATTATTTCTTTTTTACCCTTTTCATGCAAAAGTTAATCCATTTTCTTTTCTTGGGGCAGGAAAAAAAATTATTAAAAAAAAAAAGAAAAAGAAAAAAAGGCTGGCAATGCCCAAAAAGTCAAACTTAACAATTATTTTGACTTTTAAGCAATGATAGTTGGATCTCCATTTATTCCTGCTGTTACACATGAAACCCCCAAACACTATGGACTTTGCACATGATTCTACTGACTTAATTAGCCAGCCAAATTCTATAATATAGTAATTATTGTAATCATAATTAAGAATATTGTATATGCATTTATAGATCGTCGATTATCATCGTCTACCGTGTGCGTGAGTCCTCCTGTTCATCTTTGATTTCATTTCAAAGTAGGATCGAGAAAAAACTTATTTTAATGATTGCATTTCAAGATGCCTTAACGAGGGACCAATGTGACCTTTCATTTTGATTCACTACTCATGTTGCTAGATATTATATTACTTATAGCCTATAGGTAAATAATAAAGTGTCATTTAAAATCATCAAAAGATTCCTTTTAATTTCTGAAGGAAAAATTGCATTTTTTGGATTTGAATTTACCTCGACTTTCTTTTTTTAGCATAATATATAGTAGAACTAATCATTCCTTCGATTTTGATCATTAAATGATGAATTCGCTCCTTTAAAAAAAATAAAAAAAAATTACAAATGGAATCCTATAACTTTTCAAAAGTACATATATATCACCTTTAAAATTATTACATACATATTATCACCCAAAAAAAAAAGAGTAATGTTATTCATAGTTAGCGATTGCAGTAGTCAACTACTTCAATCGCTAACTATAAATAACATTATTAAAAAAAGAATTTAATAAAATTTCATTTTCTCCAATGAAACTCAACGACCCACCCCATGTATCCTTATCCATCCAACCCATAATCAAACGTTACCTCCACAAATGCAATCACGGTTGTTGTTAGTCCCGCGGTCTATGATGCTGGTTTTTTATCGTTTTTTATTATTTATTATTTTTCTAAAACTTCAACTTCAAAAAAATCTAGTTTATTATATTAAATTAAATCGCAAGGGGTAAAGAAATTAAGATTGAGTTTTTAAACATCAAATATTTTTTCCAACTTAAGTTCAATATATTTTTGTTTAGTGTACATTATTGACAGTGCAAAATTAATTATACATTAACATAAATCATTTTTCACTTCTTGTGTAACTCTGTAATTTATCTTGATAGCTTTTAATTGTCGTTTCCATGAAATATGCATTATCATGTGACAAAAACGATTCTTAAATAACGTCAAAGTTGACAAATTAACAAATCCAAATCTTCTTCCTTATCCATTACATGGATTACCTAAATTTGATTTGATATGTAAGGACCACTGAACTGAGGCTAATGCGGTCAATTTTCTTGTTCAATTGGTTTTAACTATAATACTCCTCTATTCACCCATTTGATACCATAAGATTTAGGAAAATGCCAAACGAACATCATGGTTGACACAATGGATGATCGCACTCTCACATACCGAGGTGGGTCCCAAGTGATTAAAAAAATACCGACCTCCATGTACGAGTGTGCGTGGTCATTCCCACGGTCATCCATGCGGGTCATGTAACTCAGTCCTAACATTTAAGAACGCAAAATATATTCCACAACTTCCCAATCAGAATTTTCCATCTAAATGAAAGCAATACAAATAAATAAAACTTGCTCCTAACAACTGCAAGTAATGTAAAGCAACAACCACAGAGTCTATGTCGAACAGCAACCGCCCATCTTCGTAGCAGATACATCTTTGTTCACATCGATTTTCTTACCTATTGAAGGGACGTTCGACGCAGCTCCATTCTCTCCTGTTTCGATTGCCTTCTTGCACATAATATGGTATATCTGGGTAAGAACCTCAGAAAAAGCATTTTCCACATTCGTAGCTTCGAGTGCATAAGTTTCCATGAAGTAGAGTGACTCCTCAGCAAAAGACTTTCCATCATCAGTCGAGACTGCCACTAGACGGAGATCAGACTTGTTCTGTTCTCGACCAGCATGACAACTATATTGGGATCCGTGTGATCCCTCAACGCTCTTAACCACGTTTCAACATTTTCAAATGTCGGGTGCCTCATCACATTGTAAACAAGCAAAGCACCAATTGCACCGCGGTAGTAGGCGCTGGTAATTGCACAGTACCTAGAGACCAAAAAGGATGGCGAGGTATTAAAGATTGCAGAAATAAACTTGTGATGGAAAATTCAGCAATGCCTCAGTTTCTATCACCATAATAACTCTGGAAAATAATTAATTATTGATTTTGATCTAAATTTTTTAACAATTCTTCTTGCTATTTCAAATAAGCACTCATAAAGTAGACGAAAACGTGAAAACTCAAATCTAATTTAGACATAACTTTTTTGTCACAATAAGATTATCCAAACTATTCTTGCTTATTACTAAGGAAGAGAAAGAAAGAGACTTTATTTTATTTTTATTTTTTATTATAAGAAGAAAGAGCCAATTACAGATTGAATCTTACTAATTAATCATTTATTTTTTACCCTTTATATGCAAAAGTTAGTCCATTTTCTTTTCTTGGAGCGGGGGGAAAAATGGCTGGCGATGCCCAAAAAGTCAAACTTAACAATTATTTTGACTTTTAAGCTACGATAGTTGGATCTCCATTTATTCCTGCGGTTACACATGAAAACCCCAACACTATGGTCGTTGCACATGTAATCACAATTAAAAATATCATATATACATTGTAGATCGTTGATTATCATCATCTGCGGTGTGTGAGAGTCCAACTGCCCATCTTTGATTGCATTTCAAAGTAGGGCCAAGAAAATAATGAGGGACTAATGTGACCTTTCATTTAGATTCACTGCTCATGTTGCTAGCTATTATATTACTTATAGCCTATAGGTAAATAATATGCTCCTGTTTGAAGGATTAAAATTAGAATTTTAATAGATTTTCGTAAAAATTAATGAAATATATAATAAGTTATGTGATTCATAAAATATGTAGTTAAAATGAATTATTGACTTTGACTTAAATTAAAATCTATATTATGTCATTTAAAATTATCAAAAGAATCCTTTTAATTTCTGAAGGAAAAATTGCATTTTTTAGATCCGAAATTTACCTCAACTTTCTTTTTTAGCATAATATATATTCAATCTTTTAATTATACTAGTTGA